TGAGAGAGTTTTTAATCTCTCTGTATTGTATCAGCTAAACAGCAGTGTGGAAAGCTTAACATTTTAACATTTTGGTTCAGCTTTAAAAATACAGTATAGAGTGCCAAAGCAGCCCAGTACCGACTGGAAACATATCCCTCTCTCTTTGATTTCTGCAGTCAGGAAAAACACAGACCAGAACAAGAGTATCTCCTGCGAAGTCTGGTTTCTCATACTAGGTTACTGATCTTTGATCCAGTTAATGCAGCCCATCCCTTTCACTGTTAACAATTCTGAGAATTCCTCTTATAGCCCACCACAGCATGGAGCCAGCACTGATGGCCAGGTAAGTGCCTAACTAGGCAGGTCTAGTTTTAGAAAGAAATTAAAGAGGGAAATAAACTAATTTTTCTTAAGTTCTTTAGGATATTTAAATGGTGTCCCAGGACCTATGAAGCACAGAGAAAACGCTTAAAGCGTTTGGAGTGAATGCTACAGATGTGTGCTTTTGGGAAAAAAACAGAAGTAAACCCTTTTCCATCTTGGTGCTTGCTTTAGGGGTTGTTGAAGGTGATTTAGCTGCTATAGAGGCGTACAAGTCATCCGGAGGAGACATTGCACGTCAGCTCACTGCGGATGAAGTGCGTTTGCTGAACCGCCCTTCTGCGTTTGATGTCGGCTATACTCTCGTGCACCTGGCGATCCGTTTTCAGAGGCAGGATATGCTAGCCATATTGCTTACAGAGGTGAGGGTGACGTTTTAAGCATCCTTTTATATTAAGGGAATGTGTTCTTTAGTTTTCCGTTTTAATGTTACAGTGTTCTCCAGGTAGTTCTTAAATACGTTTTAGCATCCCCCCCAATTTCTTTTAATCACATTAAACTTAAGAGACTTCAACAGTATATGCTATTAAAACACTACATTTTGCCACAATATTTGAATCATTATGTTCTATTATTAAAAAAAAATGGCTGTATCTATCATTAAATCATTAATTGATTTATTCACTCAACTAACAAGTGTTTACTGAGTACCTACTACGTGCCAGGTACTGTGCTAAGCAGGGATACAGTTGTGAATCCCTCGACTCCTCAAGGATGCCCAGAAGAGTACAGAGAAATAAACAGGTAACTC